AACTTAGGTATGTGGGGAAAGAAAAATTTAAGGTGAGAACTATTTTACATTACAATTGCAATCATTCTCTTGAATGGTCTTTCAAATAAATTATAGAATACAAACATCTGAGTTCCAATCTTGGATTGGCCAGCGATTGGGTGGGTGACTTTGAGTAGATAATTTCATTTATAAAATGAAAATCATATGAAGTCATTTCTGAAGTTCCTTTTAGCTGTAACATTCCAAGACTGCATAATTTTCATTTCTTTGGGAAAAAAAAATAAAGGCAATTCCAACATAACACTGTGAGACAAAAGGGAGTAATGCTGGACTAGATTTACTGTAGAAAGATTTCGTCCAACACTATGGTTTCAAGAATGACATGAGATTACCAAAGAAGCTTGAGGAATGGTGGAAAAATCCAAAATCATGACAGTAATGAACACAGAACAGATAAGAAGCTGAAGACAGAAATTACTGAAAAACTATTATTTACACAGTTAAAAAAAAAAAGAACAATAAAGCAGGCTCTTGAAACATTTTCCCCATCAAAATGGGCAGGACTAAATGTTGGATAATTTGTTCCTACTTGGATGATGTCATCATGCTAGGTTTAACTACTTTTAATAACTAGTACATTTCCGTCATCTCTCACTTTCTCCCACATAAGATCAAATCAGCCTCTCAATGACCCACACTTCATGAGTCATAATTTTTCTGTTTATGATTCAGAAAAATGTCTTCAGTCAGTATTTCCCAGACTGCTGTGGGTTTATTCCAAGAACCAATTTCATCTTCATTGGTTTCCTACAGGAAACCAGACCAACTTCCTATTATTTTATTTTCCTTACTTTTAGCATACCATAGCCCACAGCAAATTAACTGGAAGTGAGAGTGATAGAAGACTTTATCCTGCACAAAGAGAAGCCAACATAAACAACGCCCAGTCTAGAAGTCACGGATTCAAAATTAAATATAAAATGTGCTAATATTAGAAACTTCCTTCAAAAAAGCTCCAAACCAAATAATAAAAATGTATTTTAATTAACCTTACTGTAAGTATTCCACTGTCAGAAAGAACTTTTGTTTAAGAACTACTGTCTAAGAATACAATAAATCCTACAAAGCTGATTAACACTAAGAAACCAATTATTTATATATATATATATGTGTATGCTTGTATGTATTTTCCAACCTAATCCCCTAGCAAGCTGCTAAGAGAACAGGGAGACAACTAAAGCCCAATACAGAGCCTTGGAGTGGTCAGGAAACAGAGCAACAACCCCCTAGCAACATGGCAGTCTGTCATCCCCAGCTGCCATCACTCTAGCCCCTGCCCCACACCCACTCTTTCTATGATTAAGAATAAATCTGACACTAGATCACAGCAGAAATAGTGACATGGAACATGGATTTTTAAGGAACATTTTATCAGTGGTTTGTACTCATACTATTCCTCTAAAATACTAGTATTTCTCATGGACTACACAGAAAAAGATTTGTGAATGTGAAGAATTTTGGTATAAACATATATCAGATTCTCCTTAGACTCTTTCCATTCTCATCACTCCTGATAACAGGTATAGTTTTAGGCTTTAAAAGATCACAAGGTCACTAACTGGCAAGGAGCAGGATAATTTTATATCAAATTCAAAAGTTGATACGTTAAAAAAAAAGGCCTAAAAAGAATGCATTTAAGGCACATATTAAATATGGATAAGCCAAGGGACTTGAAACATTAAAGCAATGGTTCTCAAAGTGAAATTCCCAGACCAGAGTCAGCATTACCTGAACATGTCCTAAAATGGAAGTTCTCACCCTATTCTAGACCTAATGAATCAGAAATTCTGGGGAAGGGCCCTGCAACCTGCAGCTGATGCTAAAGTGAGCCTTATCTATCATATGCTCTTTCTTCCTTCTTACACCAGGAAATTTCTAGAAAAGAATCCACTCAGTTTGCATTTCCCTCATTAACCCCTCAACTTCTAAACCCTCTGTGCCCTGGTGAACTCCTCTATCATATGCTAAAACGCTCTTTTTAGAAGTATCTAGCACTGCTGATATTCCCTCCTGCTTGAAATGGCCTGATTTTTTACTTCCGTGACACAATTCCACTCTCCTGGCTGTCCCTCTCCTACTTTCCTGTCATCAGTGACTACTCTTCCTCCTCCCATTCTAAATGCACTCATGTCCTGTAGGTTCAAGCTTCAGTCCTCTACTTCTCTTTCTCTATCTGCCTCCTTGCTATCTCAAGAATTCCCAGAGCGGACTTTACATCTCTGTACCCCAAATCTCTCCCAAACCTCACAACATATTTTAAACTACCTTATGACCTACTTCACCTGAATGTACTTCAAGTACTGCCAGTAGAATATAACCAAGAGGGAATTTTTCATTTACCCTGCCTGACTCCAACAGTCCCTCCAGGAATGCCTGCTTCTACTATTGGTACCATTAGTCATCTGGTCCCCTGGGCACTGCATTGCTTCTCCTCTTCCCTGGCTCCCATATCTTATCAGCAGAGAGGTCAACCCTACCAGGCATCCCATGTCATCCACCCCATTCCCACCAACTTCCAACAGTTTCCTATATGTCTTCTGAGCCCTACCACTAGACTTACCTGTAAAACTCATCTCTCAATCTGTTTTCCCCATAGTCAAAAATATGCAGAGGCTGCCCAAAGGTAGCCCAACTTCCTACACAGCCTTACGTCACATTTCTTTTCAACAATTTTTTTGTTCAGCTAATCTAGAATGCTCATCATGTTACAGACATACCCAAAGTTTTCTCACTTCTGACTCTGGGCCTTACATCACTACCTCCATTTCAACTAGCAGTTCCCAGTGACTATGTCTGCAAATTTCTTCCATAAACCTCCTCCCTGACACCATCATAATGCCCTCAGACTGAAGTTCTCTCTCACCCTTCTCTAAAGACCCATAGATATTAGCGCCAGCCTCTGTCACTTGCCACAAATCATCCCTACACCAGTTCAGAACCTCCACAACAGAAGTGGGTTTTATACATCTTTGTGTCTTCCATTCCACCACACATGCAAATATTTGTTGGAGGGCTAAATGATCTTACAAGTCAAAATTCATATTCAATTAAGCACCATTTCTGCCAATTAGCTGGCCTTCAGGAGAAGGAGGCAAAACACAATAAAAACAGACAAACGTCACATACACAGCAACTTGAATGAAATGACTCAATTTCCTAAGCTTTCTACACTTACAGTGCAACCAGCCTAGAATGATACCCAGACAGTAATAGGCTCACTTCAAGTAAGATAAGTACAACAGACTTTTTGAATTACAAAAACTTTTTGGAAAAAGGAGAAGATTGGTTCATTTAACACTAAAGTGACAGGGGAGACCTTCTATAAATAAATCTTCATAAAATTTCCTACATCTTTCCCACCATGCCAGTTTATAGCTCTAGGGGTACTAAACTATCTATAATCACAAAGGAAAGTTCTTAATCTAAAGGAAATTGAATAACAGAGCATTCATACCAAAACATTCAAATTTTGCCTGGAAGATACCCTCACGTTGATCAAGAAGCCCAAGAAGTGACTAGATAAATTATAATGTGGAAGATGGACTGATTGCTCCAGTTAGGGATAAATAGTCTTTACACCTGGAGTAATAGAGTGACTACTTCTCTACAGAAAAGAGGTGGTAATCTCTCCTGGCATAGTATGCATAAGATACCCTATAAAATGAGAAAAGATATTCATAATCATTTAGAAAAACAGCTCTGCTCTAACTGAAAGACCCTGATAACTTTCACAGCCCAAAGGTTAACACTGGATACTGAACAGAATCATCACAGATTAAGAAAGGGGAAAAATTTTTTTCCAAGACAGCACAGATAAGAAGTATCTTTATTGATATGTAGCTATCCTTCAAGGATAACATTTTAGAGAAAAGTGTAAATTATGAGGATTTATATACTATTTTTAAATTTAATATTACAAGACTGGGTTAACCACTATATTTCTCTCACTATATTCCACACCTGGTTTCATTTTATTTAGTTTATAGTTTCTCCCTTAAACTAGCAGAGATATAAAACAGGCATATAGATTCCATTCCTTCTAAAGTTGCAGATATGGAGGAATACAAATCACCTTAAGTATTTCTGAAATAACATTGCTGAATTCGTTCATTAAACGGCAAAAACAAAAAAACAAACAACAAAAAACTGATAGATTCTTCGGACTTTTTTTGGCAGGATGGCAGGGGACTCTTTTAACTTAGAGTTATTTGCTTTTATTTCTCAGCTCCACTATTCTGATTGAATAAGTGTCTAAATAGAACTTGTATCATTCCTGGCTTCAGGTTTCACTCACTCAAGTGAACACTGGGATATAGCAACAAAAATGGAAATTTGAAATAAGCAGATTGCTAGAGCCCTAGGGATGGGCTTCTCAGGTTTACTGCAATTTGTTCCAGAAAGAAAAACTAAAGAGAGGTAGGTAGACTACCAGAGTATCTGAATTAAGGGAAAGAAATCAACATTAGCTGTATCATACTGAGGAGAAAAGAAGCTAAAAACAGTTTTCCTTCCCATGTTTTTTACTACTTACAATAAAAAGTTAATTCAGTTAATTTTAACATATTATTGAACTCAAAAAATATTATTTTCTCAGCCAATAATATAACCACTACCAAAAATTAATATTAAAGTAGAAGTTTTATTGCATTACATTTTCCAACATTTTAACAAAACACTTCATTAACAATGTGATTTGAAATGGCAGAAAACAGACTACAAGATTAACCCAAAATAAATGAATACTGCTATTTTAATGTTAGCAGTAAGATTTTATATTGCTCAGTAACAGAGAATACACTTTTAAAAAGTATTAGTATTTCTATTAGATTCATTAATTAAACTCGAAGACCAGGAGTAGTGCCTATATTAAGAAACAACAACAAAAGGAACAGAAAAAAGTAAAATGCGGAACAACTCAGGAACACAGCCAGAGAAATCGGACCGTAAAAATGGCTTACTTTAACGTGGCTCTGGGCTCCAAGGTTGTAGATCTCTGTAGGCTTTACTTCATTAATGATCTTCACAAGGCAGGTACTGTCAGTGAGGTCACCATAGTGCAACTTCATGTCTTTAGAATTCAAAAGCATACCATTAGATAGAAGAAAACATCAGCCCATTTTTTTAAAAATATCAAAATTGAAAGGCATATTTTGAAAGTCTGAAAACCACACTGGTTTCAGAGCAGCAGAGTATAACTGTCATCTTTAAAGAACCTAAATGGTAGAAAGATACATTTGTTGCCTGTGTCTGTTTACAAATGCTACAAAGAGGATTTGTAAAAACTCAAATGAACTTTTTTTTTTTAAATCTTATCAAGACAGATGTTATACAGTTAATGTATCTTATGGTTCCCAGGTAGTTTGTAAGATGTGTTACATAACAGTGAGATTCAGACCCCCCCCCAAAAAAAACTCATGAAAATGCATATATTGTCTAAAGAACTCTGTAATACACCAGTAATAGTGAATCAGATACTTTTATCTAGCAATTTTAAAGTACTTCATAAACATCAATCCTTAAGCCAACCACGAAATGCCTGATGTAGAGACATAACTGATTAGGACAACTAGCCTATTCTAACCCTAAATCTCAGCATATCCTTACACTGATACATGTAGATAGGCAATTAGCTAGCTTGATATTTTGTTATTTTTACATAAAATTGATCTATGTCTAGACCCAATGGAACTACCATTCTGCACTTTGCACAAAAATGATAATAATTTTCAAGAAGGATGTACTGAATAACCTGAATATTAAGGTAAAAGGCCTTTAGTGGAGACAACTACATTAACCTGCAAATATTTGGTGCTCTGAAATGAATACAGAATGATTTATGCTTTACATGCTGACTGAATCATCCCTGCTAGCTGGAAAAACTGGACAAGCAAAGCAGGCTGAACTTAGGAGTTAAAAACCCAGGGTCCTGGTCCTAGCTCTGTCTTTTACATGGTATGTGACCTCAATAAAGTTACCACCTCTCTCTGCCTCTATTTCCTCATCTGTAAAATGGTTTCACTCACAAGCTTAGGAGCTGCTATAAAGGGCAAATGAGAAAACACTGTGACTGGGCTACGTAGACTATCTGGCTACATTCAGGCAACTTTATTAAAAATAACATGCAACTGCAAATACTGACAGTGATCTGTAAAGCAATTAAATATAGTTTTGATTGCCACCTGTTTTTGGACCTGTCTTCACAAATTATTTTAAAAATTAAATAAATGTACAAAGATCGCTTAGCTTGATTACATTAGACCAAACATAAAAAGCAAAGGAGTGTTCTGTGAATATGGACCTGATCTTACTTGAGGGGATAAGGACACCTGGAGAAGGGTGATCAAAGGCATGTCTACTCTTGGTTTCTTGAGCAGCATCACCTGACCAATAACCTGTAACAGCCTAACCAAGATGACACTGTGGCCCAGGGGCAGCAAGCAATGGAAAGGTTTTCAAAGCATGCAGATAGCATTCAATGTAGGCAATTCATGGGTAAATAATTGCAACTCGATGGGCTTTGAGAAAAATGACATTTGAAAATAACTTATCATAATATAGGAAGCTACAGAAAGAAATTTTAGTAAAGAAAATGACTTACTTCCTTCAATATGAGCCTGGGGGTTCTTATACAGATGTTCAATTCGACCTGTATTGAACGAACTGGATCGCCGCACAATTCCATGGACCTGCATTTTTTATAATGTGGAAAGATAAGAAATTATAAATGTGCAATGAGGATTAATAAGCAACTCAGAGGTTCTTTTGTTAATGCTTACCTTGTGAAAAAATGACTATAACCTATAAGCCTATAACTTATGAACATTATCTTTAAATTATTAAAAATAGTTCCACTGCTTACTTTCTCCCCTACCACTGCCCACCAGCCACCAGCATTGTACCTCCATCTCTCTGCCATGTTTTCACTGCCAATCTCAACAAAAGTAATTAGATAATTATGTGACTTCACAGCAAATGCTTAGTTACAGATACTCAAATGTCTCCTTTTCCAAACACACACACACTTAGAGCCCTGCTGCTGACAAAATATCTCTTCAGTTTGAAACCGAAGACAGACCATGTGAGGCCATATCGGTAAAACTGCCTTGCAGCCTCTGTAACACAAAAGCATGAGGCCGAGAGGCTCTGATGCCACCACATCCTTCCAGTGTCCTCAGAGCTGTGCATCGTGCACCTATTACATATATATATAAATATACCTGCGTCCACAAATATAAACAAACAGCAGCTGCTATTATCCAGCTTTGCAGAAAAGAAATAGCATAGATTAGGGACAAGACTTATACTCTACTAGATTTAAGATATCAAGAAAACTCAAATGAAGAAAGGATTTTTTTATTTTTTCAATTTTTATCTTTATCTTAACCATTATTAGTATGAGGGGGAAGAAAGTCCTTGGAAAAAGAATGCATACCTGTCTGATACCAAAGAAAAGACTATTTGTGTCTGACACATAAGAGAAATTGTTCAAGACCTGGTCTCACGTCCTCCTTATGTCAAGATTACTCCCTTTGTGTTGCCAATGCTAATACAAGTTTATGTCACCAGCTGCCCAAGTTCCAGTTCTACTGGGGGCAGTTTTAATCCTTCACTTATTTTAGAAGTGTTCCTTCAAATGTTGGGCAGTTTCATTTGCAGCTGAATACACTTCTATATTTTAACTCAATCGTTTTCTGTCTATTTCAAACCGAAATTAATCCTTGGCATGACTCGAATATTCCAAATGCTGGGGGGGGGCAGAATTATAAGCACATAAGACTTTCTTTCAAATAGAAAGACATCTCATCGTCATTTTATATGGCATACATGAGAAATTAACTTTTGCAAAGGATACAACACACGCACAATTAGTAATTCTTTTGGTTAGCTGCTTTAGCAAAGAAAAAAGCACTCATCCACACTATGTTCCAAAAGAACTAAGCCCAAGAAAATGTGGTAAAAATGAAAATATTTTTAAGAAGGGAACATCACAAACTTCGTTAACTAAAATTTTAGGAGGCAAACTGTAAAATCTAGGAAATATTAAACTGAGATTTGAGTATACATCTCCATTCCTTAATTTAGAAGTGGATAAAATAACATATCAAGCTTAGAATTTATTCTACTTCATGGTCTCCAATTTTTTAAGTTGTTACTTAATTGTAAAGTTGAACTGCTCTACAAACAATAATTTTGTTTAACAATTTTTTGTTTAATAAAAACCAAGTTCACATACGTATATATAGCAAAATTGGTGTTTGCCACCAAGTTATTTCTGAAATATAGCTCTCTCAGATGTAAGCAGAGCTTTATTTCATTGGATATAAAGGAATTTCTATGTTCTAAAAAACAGATCATTTAATTTTGACAATGAAAATAATAATAATAATATGATTTAGTCTCTCTTTTCTCTTAATTGCTGGATTCCGGGTAAGTCACATATTCCAACAACCTGAAAAAAGAGAAACTCCATATACATACACCTTGCATATAAACATTAAAGGCTCTGATAAAAATATTAAATGATATTGATGGATTCAATTAAAATCAGACAACTACACAAAGTCACAGCAAATAAATAACATAGGACTTTTTGTCACACTTATAACGAAAAGCATTAAGCCATAGGTTTTTTTTTAATATGAAAAAATGTGTTTTAATTTCCCCTCGCTCCCAACTTTTGGTATGTGTATACAGGGAAAGAAAGAACTGCCAAATGCTTAATCCATGACAGCAAGTATTATTCTAAGAACTAATGAAAGCTGAGTCTGTCTGCCTCAGAGACAGGTGAAATACAAACTTTAAGACAAGCCAAAATGTGTGCAAACTGGATAATCTAGTTAAGAATTTGAGATTAACAGCTTTCTCTTCACAGAAGGGATGTATGTAAGGTTATTGTTTGTTTTTATAAGGATTTGGGGGGGGGGAGAGATGAGTTAGGAAACCAAAGCGAAAAGATAAATGAGCTGAATATGACTCCATGTAAACTTAATCAAAATCACTATTATCTTGTAGCAGTTCAAAAAGAAAATATAATTCTGAAACACTGAAGTCTTAAACAGAAAGGAGTATTTTGACAAACAAATTTCATGTCCCATTTAACTAAGTTGATGAAAAGGAAAATTTCAAGTTCTCTCAACGTCAGAACAAAGTTTGATTTCAAAACCTAGAGTCAGATTAGGCAATATAACAGAGAAATGCTTGCTCATGTATTTGTTTACTTATTACAATCACGAAAACAGAAAATTGTTACCACTGGATTTCATATCCTTCAGTATCTGTTTGTTATTTCAATCAAGAAAGAAAATTATTACCACTAGATTTCAAATTCTTCAATGTCTAGATTTCTCTTGGAAGCAAGGATAACTCCCCAGGGATGTTTAATGCCACTTGCCTTTTGAAAAGCACAGATTATAGAGGTAACATCAATAGCTAACATGTACATGGCAATGACCATATGCCAGACACTGCTCTTCATAGACACTAAATCACTTATCCTCACAACACCCTTCCTTATATTACTCCCATTCTACAGGTGAGGACACTGCCTGAGATCACAAAGCCAGTGGAAGTGGTCAAGCTAAACTGTACACATGGTCCATCCTACCAACACTCAGTATGTTTCCAATGAAATACATAAAACTTTTGCCTTTTTTCACCAAGGCTTCTACAGTATTCGACAACCCAAAATATCTTCCAGATTCTCACAGATCATGAATGGATGCATGGGAACTCCAGGTTCTAACAAATAATCTCCCAGAGATAACTGGACAATCCTTATATGTCATTTCCTTTCTGTTCTCCTTATATTCCCTAGTCATAATTCCTCTCTTAGAAGAAAACCCACAATTTACCTATTCTTCATTTTAAATTCTGATATGCTGTGTTGTATTTGTTGCCATGTTATTTAATATTTAAAATTTTTCATTTATTCCCAGACATATTTTTGCTTTTTAAAAAAATTAAATTTGTCTTTTGTTTTTCTGGTTTCTGGTTTCTCTGTGTTTTAGGGTACAAAATGGGTACAAAAGTATGTGTTGTTGTCTTATCTGCTAACAGTGATGCTAGGAAGGCACTTGAAACTTTCATAAGAAGCTTCACTTCTATTAATGTTCCTTTTCCCCTCATGCCCAGAAGGAATGCACACAGGGCTAAGATCCTAGGAAATGTAACAGGTCTGCCTTTACTAATGCTAATTAATAAACTGGACTAAGGAGCCTTCTATAAAATCTATAGCCCTAGGCTTGTCAGCATCAAGTACTGTGTCATCTTGTCACTCTTGTATCAGTTAAAGCCCCACAAATCCTACAGAACTTCTCTGGACTGTTTTCCACATACTGTCTCACCTAATCTTCAAGACAACCTTAGGAAACAGGTACATTTATCATCCCCTTTTACCTGAGAAACTAAGTCTCAGAAAGGCCCAGTGACCTGCCCAAGGCCACAGAGCCAGCCAGTGGCAAAGGAGGATTAGAACACAGACTGTCTAGCACCCGAGCCTAAGGGTCTCCTTGCCACAGTGAGCTAGATGGCCTCTTTCACCTTTGTTGCTCTGAAGATGGTTGACGGGTGTTTAAGGGAGAATTATCCTTTGCACTTCAACAACTGTAGAATTAACTATTTGAAGTTTTAAAGGGCAATTTTTTAAAAAAGATTTTATGTATTCATTTGCGTGAGAGAGACACAGAGAGCACAAACAGCGGGAGAGGCAGAGGAAGAAGCATATTCCCTGCTGAGCCAGGAGCCCAGTGCAGGGCTTGATCTCAGGATCCCAGGATCATGACCTGAGCCGAAGGCAGATGCTTAACCGACTGAGCCACCCAGGCACCCCTAAAGGGCGATCTTTTTAAAAAAAAACCTGATAATTCTTAGTTTTCCTCTTCATGAGATGACACCTATATTCTATAAATAATAAGTGTTAGATTCACTCTCTTTGTGCTCTCCTTAATGATTAATGTTAAGCAAAATTCAAGAAACAAGCAACATTAAAAACTATAACTTTAAACCTTTTAGAGTCTCTTCTCAGTGAGAACTGGACCAGGAATAAAGCAACCCTTCACTTTCTCATATTAAATAGTTCATTCAGGGATGCGTGGGTGGCTCAGCAGGGAGTCTGTTTCTCTCTCTCCCTCTGCCCCTCCCCACTGCTCATGCTCTGTCTCTGTCTCTCTCTCAAATAAATAATAAAATCTTTAAAAATAAATAGATAGATAGCTAGATCATTCAAAACACGACCAGATGCATGGATTTCAGTGGCCACATTAGAAGGCCCCACAGCTTCAGGAATCTAATGTGTAAGGTCATACAAAGTATTTAACCATAACTAATGGGTCTATTCATACATATGATATTCCTTTTCAAGTCATATGCAAATGTCTATTTTCGCTTTAAAGTTAGCCAAGCTTTTTATACCTTTACTCTGCTTTTTTGACTAAAGAAAAAGTAAAGGAATCTATGTAACTATGCTATGCTAATTCTGTAGAGAGTGTTTGTCTTTGCCTATGCGGCCACCTCATCACTACCCCACCAACCTATCTCTGCTCTTCAATTTGCGCCCCCAACTGACTACTGCTTGTCCGTACAATCCATGCCTTCCCACCTTCACAATGAAAGGCTGACTTTGCCATTGCTAGACAATTAAAGTTTGCCCCTTTCTGTTCTAGGAAGAACTCAGCCTCATTATCAAGCCTATTCATAGAATCTGTAGCTCTTCTTCCCAGTGTTCATTTGTTTCTGGTTTGTACTCTGCTACCCCAAAGTATATTGTTTCCAGGTATTTCTTAGCCTAGTGATATTCCTTATACAAAGACTAAATCCAAAATAGTGTAAGAGCTCAGAGAAGGAAAACCCCACCAATTAAGATACCTTAAGAAATTCTGTTCATCTTCGCCTTATGATTAAATGATCTCATTTGAACCTATAGTAGTACTGGCTCTCAAACTGTAAGATCCAGGAGAGTGGCATCAGCAACAACTGGGGGCTTGTTCGAAAGGCTGATTCCCAGACCCCAGAACCAGCCATCCTCATCTTTATGGGGCCTCTGGGGGCTCTGATGCACACTGCAGGTTGAGAACCTGCTAAGTTCCTGATGTTGACCCTCTGGATTCAGGTACAGACAGGTGTCTCCTCTTACCCTACTGAATGCAATTTACTAACCCTATTATCTTCCTCATGGTCTTGAGCAACCAGGGACTGCTGGCTGATAATTCTGGAAAATTTCCAATATAGCCTCTTCAAAAAATTTATTTCAACTCAAGCTCAAAAAAGATGAAGTCCGTGCCACCATTATATTTCCCTTAACAGCTTATCCTCCAATTACAGCCATCTCTTAAAATGGAAGACAGCAGCCTATTAAAACTGAATACAATATGGATAAACACCTTTTCGCTCCCCTATTCCTACAAAGCTCATATTTCCTCTGGACTATGAGAAGGAATCATTTCTGATTATGCTTTGTAGTTCTATACCTTCCTCCTGTATTGTCTATATTATCTCCTTCTATCAATTTATGGCTCTCACTCCTAAACCTCTCTTCTCTTGCCAATCATTGTTTCAATGATTCATTTCTCCCATTAACTGTGATTTGCCAAGTGGGCCTTCTGTTGTCTTTATCAGAATCAAATCTGCTCTTATGATTTCAAATGCCAATGGAACAAAAACATTTGTAGCTCATCTGGCAGTCCTAGGTTCTCATTACATTTATTTCTAAGTCTGTCATCCATTTGGGAACATTACTACCCATCTTCTGAAGTCTGCTAGTTCCTTAACAAGCCACCTAAGTGGAGCTTTGAATGTCTCTGTGCATGCCTTCTTCCTAGCCATTTCCAGTAACACTAAGAGCACCATCATGTTAACTGAGGCTATTCACCGTCTACCATATAGACATTAACCCTAGGCCCTATCACTAGTCCACCGCATTATCACAGTGACTACTCCACCTTATACCACCATACCTGCTCCGTTTTCCTCTGGACTAGCTGCAGACACTACTTGTTGCCACCATCCTCATCTCATGTCTTAGTCCCCCATGCCCTCCTTGGAAGTAAATTTCAACATCCATGCAGCTTAAGCACTCCTTCTGACATACCACCTCACTCTTCAAAACTGCAATGACCATGATGGGGTTCAGGACATCCTACCCCAAATTATGGCACCGTGGTGTACGGAATATTTTAAGCTGAAGGAATGTGACAAAACAATAGAACCAGGGAAGTCGCTCTAACTTTCCCCCTGCTCTTCTCCCTTAAAATAGTCATGAAATGCTCCAGTGAGAGGTGCCCTCCACCATAACTGGAAAAAAGGAACATCCATATCTCTGAAGACAAGGGGATGCCAAAAAGAATCCAAACAAACAGATCTTGTTAAGTTTCCCATACTTACCTCATACTCCTTGACCTGTCATATTTCTCCAAGACCATCCATTCTTCATTGAACCTAACATAAAAATACTTAGCCTTAATGGTTTCTTTGGATCTTCATTTCCTTATAAAGGTTCCCAGTCACATAAAACTTAATATTAAATAAACTTGTATGCTTTTCAGTTTAATTTTCAGACCCAGCCAGGGACCCTAAGAGGGTTGAGGAAAACTATTTTCCTCCTCCACATTAAACCAACAAAGATTAACAGGAGAAATTTCTACAGTTTTCTCAAACTCCTTCTATTTTCTCAAACTCCTTCAGCTTAAAATATCCAATACGCTAAAGTACCACATCTTGGGGTGGCACGTCCTGAACCCCATCAGTTGTTGCTAAGTTCCTTCCCCACTAACTCCTCTCTAGCTACCAAACACCTCTCAGCCAGTGCCAACACCTGAAACAAAGTAATTTATCTGCCAATCCTTCCCTTTTAGATTTATTGAAGCACTAAATTAATGTAGTCTGAATAAATTATCAGTCTTTATCTAAAACCAACTCTTCTGTACTATATATGATCTACTCTAAAATTCTCTGCTCTGCAGAATATGAATGTATCACTCAATTATAGCAATCTGTATATGAACATAAGTGCACATGTATGCTTTCATAATTACATTTGTCTTATTTTCATATTTTTGCAAGATATAAACCTGGCTGGTTAGGTAAGGGAACAGAAGGTGCTAAACATATCTCCTATTCTTAAAGTCTAAAAGTCAAGGCTCTCAAAAGATTATGAGTTATAGTAAGAAAATTCATTTCCTTTTCTTCAAATCCTGTTGGCATTTAGATGCCAAATTCCTTGTTGTTTTTCCATCTGCCCACAGTGCACATTTTTTTTAAACAGTATACCTGCAAACAGAATAATCCAGAGAATCCAAATTTATTAATATAAACACTCCCAAATCAGGCCAGAGCATATGGGTCACTGTATAGGTTTTTGTTCTCTGTACAGCATGAACTTATATACAGAAAACTATTCTTAAAAAAGGTAACATGCACACATGAAGTTACATCAAATTTAATATGAAAACCTGTTTCCTTTAAAGAAAGCAGAAAATGTTCGAGGAGAGGACAAAAGAGGAGAAAAAGAAGACGACGGTGATGACGCCAGCAGCAAACCCAGAAGTTTCAGCTTCCATAAAATATATGGCTGCCTATTAGAACGAAAAAAATCTCTGAGTGTAAATGTTTCATTCAAGCTTGCCAAAGATCAGCTTAGTTTTTATTGCTCTGTGCAATTTCCGAATTAAGTGACTTCACTGTGAGTGGGACTTTTTTATGTAACACATTACATCATAAATTAACCCTAATAATGTTATAGCTTTTAGCTTACCCAGGCTGCTTTATCTGAGAATGTGGGAAGCGTGCAAAGCAGTTAAACACTAAGGAACAGGGGGAAGCCACCAGTGCTCACCAGCAGATAAATAGCACAATGAACTGGCATGGTTACAAGCCAAGCGGCACATTCTTCCCCTGATTTTGATTTGTTATCGGAGTTTCAGTGGAAAACACACACAGGAGGACGGCGGCAGAGGAAGCAGGAGGCCACTGTGTCCAAGTGATTCCACCAGCCTGTGCTTGCTCACTGAGTCACTCACCTCGTAGCCTTTCTCCAGCAGGAACTCAGCCAAGTATGAACCATCCTGGGAAGAGAAGGAAAATTGACAATTGTCAGATCCATCACGGCTAGCGTAGAAGGCAGCCAAGACTGAGAGCTTTGAGAAATGCACTGAAGGGGCTATATGAACTTAAATTAAGGATCATGGCAACCAGAATAAAAATAATACAGCTAATGATGTTAAAAACAAAACAGTATTCCTCTTTCCACTGTTCACTAAGCATTTTCATAGACACTATTTCACTTGAGTACCACAGAAGTACGGCAAAGTGTTAGCATTGTCCAATTTACTGGGTAAGAAACAAAATCCAGGGACATAATATGGGGCAACAGAGAGAACATGACATTTCGACAGATGTGGGTTTGGTTAGGTTTTGCCACTTACTAGCTGTGTGAAATATGCAAAATATGTGTAGCAAAGCAGAAGGTCTTGGTACTACAGGAACATAAAACAGGAATCAGACTAATTCTGGGTGGTTGTGAAAAAGGAATCATGGGTAAAGGAATGAGATGGGAGCTGTGAGGACTTGGGGAGAACACAGGTGAGTGTAAGCAGGAGGCAGGGAACACCAGAGCGTTATTAACATTGCTGAAAAAAGACACTATGGCAGAGAGGAGGTAGGTGAGCGCCTTTGTGGAGGAAGACCTTCTAGGCACTGGTGGGAGTTGGCTTCTAACTCAAGCGTTCTGGAAAGTCACTGAAAAAAGAGTTTTGGGGGTGCGGGTGCTAAACACGATCAGATTTGTATTATTATCACTGAATATATATGCATAACACACACACTCATAAACTTTAAATAAAAGGATATTTATTTTTTGTAAAGTAGGAAGGATGCATCTTTTTTTCAAAGATTTTATTTATTTGAAAGCAAGAGAGAGCACAAGCAGGGTGAAGGGCAGAGAGAGAAGTAGACTCCCCACTGAGCAGGGAGCCTGAAATGGGACTCAATCCTGGGACTCCAGAATCATGACCTGAGCCAAAGGCAGACGCTTAACCAACTGAGCCACCCAGGTGCCCCGGAAGGATGCATCTTAAATTGTGCAGTTATTCCCTATATTAAGATGAAGGTATCTGACTAAACACAGATTCTCAAATGGCTTTTAATAACTCTTGTAAAAATTTATAGGGTACCTGGGTGGATCAGTCGTAAAGCATCTGCCTTCAGCTCAGGTCATGATCCCAGCGTCCTGGGATCAAGCCCCGCATCGGGCTCCCTGCTCAGCGGGAAGCCTGCTTCTCCCTCTCCCACTCCCCCTGCTTGTGTTCCCTCTCTGGCTGTGTCTCTCTCTGTCAAATAAATAAATAAAATCTTTAAAAAAAAATTCTACATAGGGGGGAATGCTATTTAAACTAAAATATTTCATGTGCCACTTTTAGGGAAAGAAAGTATGAGAGTCATCTAATAAAACTATTAAAAGGCCAAAAGCTGAGAAATCACTGTTCTAGAGGAACTATAAAAGCTACCAGCCTTGCTCAAAATATGAATTGGGTAGACATTTTGCAATCAATCCTGTTAACTGCCCACCTGTTTTCAGCCCGGGTCAGTCCCCTCCATCCCATCCAGACTTAAACGTAAAAATGGGAGGCTCCAACTACTGGAAATTTGTGTATTCAAAAGTAGCTGGGACTATTTGGGAGTATCTGGGTTTTCTTTGGTTTCCTCAGTTTGAAAAAGTTTAAAATATCCCTCTGAGTTTCAAAAGTTCTTACCAGATATTCCAGGAAAAAGAAAAATGAAACAAGTCTTATTATTGTAACTAGTTGACTTAAAGCTGGAAATGGAGACACCCTATGGGTCCTGAAAATGACAGGGCTGCCAAGAGAGTGTTTACTACATTAATGCAGAAGTCACACATAAATTCAGGCAGGATGACAAGGCAAGGTATACAAGGGACACATTTTGTGGTTCATTAAAACCTCCAACAGATTTTCTTCTGACTTCTTGACATAAATATTCTGGTTTATAGACTCATGTAGAGAAAAAGAGAAATGGTTTGGCATATTCCTTCTCCTCTCCATCTTATGATATACACACAATTGCATGGTTTTTAAAATATCCAACATGCAAACTAAATCAGATAAGAGGGCTGAGCAATACAGACTAGGACAGGGCAGGTCAGTCTACATGACCATCGGAAATGTGAGAATAATGGGTAGTCTTATAAATCAATCAGTGAGAAAGCAGCTTAATAGAAAAAGTATTTACAATCAGAAGAATAATTTTACAGCAGTTTGGAAAGCCCTAGAATGTATCAAGTTTTGTTTCATTGTTAGTATTAGTGTTGTCATTTTGAAGCAGGCAACACCATACTTTTCATGTTCCATAATTTCTCTTGGAATAAAAAGTTAAAATGCTTTGTGTTCTCCGATGGCTGCATACAATGTTTAAAAAAAAAAAAGGCAGAGGTGAAAGTGCTAGAGATCCATGGGGGCAGGGAAAGCTGTGATTATTCAGAAAGCTGATGTGAAACAGACCTGACCAGGCCTGAACCCTGTCAATAAGGTCTTGTTCTTCTCACCCAGGGCCCTTCTCAAACTTTCCAACCGCACTGGAACATTCTGAACCAGCAGGGCACTCACTTCCTCCTGACTTCCTTGCCAGGTCTCTCAAGTGATAGGGCCTGAGCTGCACAATGAGTGGGAAATGGAGCAGAGCGAAGGCTCCTGGTCTCTGGCCTAGGGAGCCCAGCTGGCCTCCCCTTGTCCTCTCCCTGAGCCCCTAAGTGTACTCCACAGGGAGACACAGTATCTAAGCAGGCAGGCGTCAGCCAAGCCAACAAGATCATTGTTTCTGCCTCCTCTAGAAGAACAGGGTTGTTGGAGAAAGCTTCAATCAGACTAATAACTGAAATGTCATGGCAACTGAGAACCTACAACTGACATTAAAAATTCTGATACTTAATTCCTTGGAACACAAGGAACTAAATGAACTTAAATTTCCAACTCATTTGCTATGAACACAATTAATCTGGTACAAATTCCAGCCTGGGTTCAATCCTTGTTACAGAAAACTTTTAACTGAGGAGATAATGTCCCAATTGTGACTCTTAAATTTAATTTTGTACATGGTTATTAAGGGTATCCATTTCATATTAAATGCTGTGCAGATTTAAGGAATCACCATGGCTGTAACATTTTCTATCTTATTCTTGCAAGAACTCGGCCCGGAAGGCAAGGAGCCACTGGCATCTGAGGTCAACAAGGCACAAGACAGTAGCCAATTTGCATATTATCACACTACAGGGGTAAAGCCAGAACTGGAATCCAAGTTGCGCATTATTCTGACCTAGAAAATCAACCTCCTTCCTCACCCTCCTCCACCTGGGACCTACCAAAACATGTCAAAACCCAACAAAATAATAAAAAACCATAACAGATTTCATTTTTAAACCAAATTGACTTAGTCATTTCCCATTACGGAGTGTTTTGTGGATTAATCAGTGCTTCTAGTTTTAATTAAGTGACATCATGTAATTTTAGAACTCCAGAGCTCAGAGGAAGGAGACAGTAAACAGCACCTGAGATTCCTCAGGTCGTGTTTGGGCCCTACTCAGGAAGCAGTACAGTATTGTTTGAAGGTGGACTTGGACTGACTGTGGCTGTATTATTTGGAGGCTCTAGAGCCAAGGAGGGCACTACCCAAGGACCAAAAGTGCCAGATTTAGGTATGCCGGATGCCTACAGTCCCTATATTTGGGTATCTCTATTTTTCACCTTCCATGAAATACTCAGAAATGTTCTAGATCAACACCCATAAAAATAAAGAATAATTCCAAAAATTAGTTCAATCATATCTTGACTATAGTATTAAAATTACGTAAAATTACACATCTATAAAAAGCTAAGGAAGTACAGAAAGTTTACCCTTCTCCCGATGACCACAGAAGGCTTTATTAAGCACTGACTGATCCTCCAGCCCACATCCAAATACATATGTGCCAGGGAGTCTACCTTCCTGCAGAGGAGACTAGCATTTCTCTTCTCCCTTCAAACATGGATGCACTTACAGCCCAGAAGGATAAATGAAAAGGACACTTTCTTATATGCAATTTGAGAACCTGGCTCCTCTGAAATGCATGCTAAATTATACTGTGTGTTTCTGCCTAAGCACCATTTGGCAGCTTCTTCGCATAAGATAAGTAGTATTGGGCTAAAGAAATCATGCCACTAATAAATGAATTTCTTTGTTTAGATCATCTCAAGCATCAGGAAATAGAATGTCCCTCCTGTAAGGAGAGAAAGCACCAATTTACACTGCCCTTTATGTTCTATAACTCTACAAATTCTAATTACTCTAAAATAAGCATCTTTTCAGCTAATAGCAATTACAGTATCAAAGTAATCTGTACCTCCCCATGAGAGAAATGCAAAAACCTCAATGACTAACACAGAATGCAGTTCTGAATTAGAATGAAAACCTCCAATGGCAAGACTGGCAATGTAGTGTGAAGAATACAGAAGCAGAATAATATTTGAAAAGTATTTTCACCTGGCTCATGTTTGTAACACAAAACACTACATAAAATCTTTTTTAAACTCACAGAATTCAAAAGACCATAGGGATTAATTAATCTAACCCTCTCATTTTACAGATCAGGAAATTGAGATTCAAAACAGTTAAATGTTTAGTGTACAGTCACACAGTTTGGAAGTAGCAGAATCTGCTCTCCCCCTCAAAAAAAGTCTTCAGACTCTCAGACCTCAGAATTTTTCACTATAAAATACTGCAAAAAAAAAAAAATCCAAGATGAAGAGACTGGACTAATACCTACAGTTGACACATTAATGCATTACCAAGTGAAGAACAAGAATACAGCCAACAATTATCAGTGGAGTGAAAACTAGCTGACCAAGTGGTAGACAAGAAACCAGGATATCATCAATATTTAAAACATAAATAATTTCCAATTCCTGTAGTCTTTTAAAGTTAACAATTATTTCCCCATAAAAGCTGCTGCCGCGGAAAAACAGACTTTCACTTACTTTGATTTACTTCCTGGTAGAGAGGAGCACTGTAATCCAGA